GATCGCCCTCACATGACATTCCTCCATTGACAAATGATTTGTAATAATAGCATATGATCATGATTAATGTAAAACTCCTCGTTGTAAAGGAAATAACCTCCATGAAATAACAATGTAAATGGGATACAACTTCAGGCAATAGTCCATAGAGGCGTTGTGAAAACACAATAAATTGGCTATGTAAATCATGTGAAAGCAGGACTTAATGTCAAGATTATAATGGTCATGACATAGGGTAGAATTTTGCATTAAGGCTTTCATCACCATGTCTATTAAATAAATTTTGGCGGACATTTAAATGAATACCTATCATCCAAGAATATGCTCGCCAGTAACGTATCAAGAATAGATGTGACGCATGGAAAATTCCAACATTCAAAATGCATAATACTGCCTTCGATAGCTTGCAGACGTGATTGGGCTATGCAATACCATAAATAAACAATATCTATAACCTAGCTGCATATGTGAGATTCACTGGTATAGCGATAACCGCAGGAGAATGATAAATATCGTAGGAGTTCTAGATAATTATACCTCCTATAAAATGCCAGACGGTGTTCGGACTTCGGCGACAAAATGTCCACCGCAGTCGGGTGACCGTTAAAATTCTTGTCGACAATAACTGATGATGCAACCACATACAAAAGATATCAATATCAACCAAAAGATATCAACCACATACAAAAGAACATTCAAAGATGCATCAGCTTCTGATCTCTTCCAATGTGCCAATTTGGACAATATCATGCATTCGTGAAAGGTGTAAAGCCGTTGTTTCAACGAGGTCACATGTAGCGATTGCATCCCGGCACCAGGTGGGTTTCACACTTCTAAATTGGTCATTATCCTAGCTCCAAAGTGTCTCTGTCGGGAGGGCAGCGGGTTCAGCGGATGATCACGGAGATAGGCACAAATCTGCCACGGTTATCACCGGCGGACCCAGTGTGTCGCCGGTGATCGGGAACATCTTCAGTCGCTGAGTTCGTGAACACGGCAGGGGGAGGTGCACAGTAGCACGACAGAGGGGATGGGACACTATAGAACAACGGAATGTCCAGCTGACGAACCTTTGGAGATCCCGCAGCAAGGGCAATGGTGCAGAGGTGTGTCGCGAAAAGTTAGAGAAAAGAGTCACGGATTGAAGGAGCCACTTCCATTGAATAAATGACAAAAACATTTATAATTGATGATTACATAATTCCTTAATGATAACATATGATCGAAGTGAAAGCAAAATAGTTTATGCTATTTAATTATTATATTAATGGAAGTGTTAATGAAATACGACAAAAACTAATTTAATCATTTAATCAATTTAATCAAAATTCCTTAAGCGATCACATGCCTCAAACTATACGTCAATCCGAGGGAGTCAGACATAGCGGCGTTTGTATCAGAGCCGCAGTCGGGGGTGAACAAGACATACATAGTTAGGGAGCGATGCACCCAAATGGCCCATATATAATGAATGATGGCCCGACCAGTCTGATATATAGCCTCATTGCCTCAACTAGGCCTCAATAGCTGTAATTTGCATGACGTTTCACTCCCGTTTTTCTAGTTGAGTATAAGGAACAGCGGCTTATATAGTTATTAACCAGACGCCCGAGCCCTCAGCGGAGGGAGTGGGGCCGTTTGGATGGCCCCTGCAGCGCGCCTCTTGATACAACATCGAACAGCGCAGTTCAGCAACCAGCTATCAGAAATTAGAATTGGCAACTGGCAAAGGGAGCTAGAAACATGAGCAAAGGTGATTAGCAAAGAAAGCCAGAAAAGACAACCAGAAAGTACGGCCAGTAAAGGAATCTAGGAAAGGGCAACCAGTAAAGGTGCCCCTGCAAAGTGCAGCGGCTGTACCATGGGCCAGAGGCCAAAACTACATAGAGACCCGCAGCGCTGACGCGCCTCCTAGGACCAGAATTGGAGAAAAAAGGAAACGCCACCGCGGTGCCACCGCAACTGCCGCGGGGAATGAAAAAGAAAAGAAAAGAAAACGCCCGCCCGAATCCACTGCCAATAACCAGCATCCACTGCCGGCAACCAGCACCGTCCAGACCATCAGGGAGCCGTCCAGACCATGGGTTGGCCGGCGCACAGCGCGGCCAACTCGCCCGGGATGTCTCGCCGGGGTCCGGGGTGTCGAGGTCCCCGCACACAGGGCCCTTCCGGGGTCACTGAGCTCGTCTCCCTGTCACCCGGCACGTGCGAACGGTCACCAGCCGGGTGGGCGGGCCTGACCCGGCAGAGAGCAGATACAAATCGATACTCAACCGCACAAAGTTAGACGCGACAGTCACCGTCGGCCGCAGCCAAGCGGCAGATTATTAGACGCTTCTTCTCGAGTGCAAATGTCGTCCATCAAAAGCCACCGAGCGAAGTTGGTGGAAAGTTTCAAAATTGTATTCGACATTTACATAAATTTCCAGTTGTAAATGTTAATCGTGTGGTGGTAGAGAGGTCTGCCCGGGCAGGGGGTAGGGGGTAGGAGGGGCGGGCCCAATTTCACTCCAGAACACTGATCGATGGATGTCCGTCGTCTCCTTATGGTTGTATATGTTACAGACCGTATGAAAACCCAGTCCGTTTGCAAACGGACTGGCCCAGTCAGGCCGTTTGAAAACGGCATGAAAAAGCCGGCCGTTTGCAAACCGCCTGAAATATCAGGCCGTATGAAAACGGCCTAGGCAGTTTGAAACGGCCTAGACAGTTTGAAAACGGCCTAGTCAGTTTTCAAACGGTCTGGCGAAGTACAACAGCCTCTGAAGATTGGACTTAATGGATCCAGGTTGGTCGATGATCAGGTTGCATCCATGTGAATGCTTGCGCATTCCATGCCGAATGACTCGTCTACATACGTCGAACATTTTCTTACTGTGCTGATGCTCGGCCCGGCCGTTTTTCAACAATATTACTAATTACGGAGCGAGCGAAGCGAGCGGAGTCTTACGTAGAATAACGGAAATTTCTGAGTATGAGCGGCCGGCCGGCCGTGGTCACGCTTCTGCGACGCTTATATCTCAGCAACCACTTGACCGATTTACATGCGGTAATTTTTGTAGGGTAGCTTCATTCCTTCTACCAAGTATTGGACTATTCCCGATGCATGTGGGTGACCCCTTATGCACGTGCCACGTGCAAAACGAAGAGGTGTCACTTTTGTAATTGTTGCAATATCTCGGTAACTACTTGGCCGATTGCGCTGAAAGTTGGCATGCAGGTAGGCACCCACTAGGCAATGCATATCCATGTGTCGGAGTTGGGGTGCTGCTGCACGTGCGCACGTGCAGGGGTCGATTCCAGATCTCGAGAACGGCTGGACTGATGGCGCTCAAATTTGGTACATGGCTAGGGACCGGTTAGTAGCGTGCCGTGCAAAAGTCAGTTGGGACCCATTTTGCACGTGCGCACGTGCAGGGTGCCGCTTCCAGATCTCGAGAACGGCTGGGCCGATTGTGCCCAAATTTGGCACATCGCTAGAGACCGGTTAGTAGGGTGCCGTGCACAAGTCAGCTGGAGGTACCCCCTCGAAATTTCGCACGTGCAAGGCTCACTCTCTCGCTCGCTCCGTTAGTCGCCCCAAAAGGCGTTATACTGGTTATACAAGTTCACGGTCCGCCTGTGTACGGCCATCCAGTTGATGGAGCCTGGTGAAGCCACTACTGGTGAGATCTGGTGAAACGTATCACAACAAGACTCACCGATTATTTTGCGGCATAAAACGCCGGAGCGCGCAATGGACATCAGAGTTCACATCAGTGGCGCGGGAACCGGGGAGGGGGGGGGGGGCTAGCGGGGGCTGAGCCTCTCCAACTTTTCGGCTGGGGGGGGGGGCGCTTGTAATGTATTTGAGCCCCCCCCCCCCTCCCCAGCTGGAGGAATCGAAATCGGAAATCTACCAACATAATTTCATAGATTCATACATAGGCGCGGGAATCGGGGGAGGGGGCAGTGGGGGAAGCTTGCTCCCACAGCTCTGGGGCCGTGGGGGCGGTGCCCCACAACTTTTCATGAGGTCAGGAACCGTTGGGGCAGCTTGTCCTCTCCTCCCCAAATTAGGGGTTGTGGGTCACAAAGGAAGAAAGCATGTAAGTGAAAAATCCACCTCTTTCACTGGCTCGGCAACTCATTTGGCAGATTAAAACCTTCTATTATGGTTCAGCCCCCCCCCCCCCAGTCTGGATCGAAGAAGTTCCCGCGCCAGTGGTTCACATTAGAGTCCTCACCGCGCCCGGTCGACCGCCGGCGGCTGGCCGGTGGCGTACGCCGGCAATACTTGACCATTGCGGTGGAAGGCGAAACTTTGAAGTCCGGGGGAAGCCCGGGTCGACCGGGCGCTATACGGGCCGGGTCTCAGTTCTGCTAATCTCTTCCTAACCAGGCCTGCATTCGTCATCGGGAAAATCAAGGAGAACTTTCCGGAACTAGCGAGAATCATCGGGGATCACGAACGGTATCGCGATAACGAGACATGCTGAAGATAGGCGCTCAACAATAATTTTCCGACGGAGAATATTCGAGTGACGATATTTTTCCGGATGCCGAATGCACCTCAGGATTTCATGGTGCCATGTAATGTCATGAAACGGTCGTGCTTCAACAAACTCAAAATTGTCCAGCTGTAACTTTATGCAGACCAGATTGTTTTCAAAATGCCTAGACCGTTTGCAAACGGCCTGGTGTCTGGAAAGTTGTCATACGGCCTAGACGGTTTGCAAACCGCCTGAAATTTCAGGCGGTTTGCATACAGCCTGGAATTTCAGCCCGTATTCAAACGGCCTGACTTTTCAGTCCGTTTGCATACTGACTGGGCTGCCCAGGCCGTTTGCAAACGGCCTGAATCGGGCCAGGCCGTTTGCAAACGGACTGAGTTTTCATACGGCCTGTAACATATACATCAACTACCAACTATTCCACCCACCCATCGCGGGTGTATCGCGCGTCATTTGGCAGTGAAAGGTTAAGAACTCGCCGCGTGTTGACTGAGACACTCGCCTCAATCAGGGTCTGAATGTGCAGACCAAGTGAGAGGCCTGGCTGGACTCGCTGAGTGGGAACGCTCGCACAGCTGTCATTGGAAAGGCGCCGGCAAACAGTCGCCACACAACGAACGGCAGCCCACTCGCCGGCGACACGACGACGCCAAACGGCAAACGGACCCGGGCGAAAGTGAGCAGTGAGCGGCGAGCAGTGAGCGCCTTACCTGGTGGCGCTGTCCACGAGGCTGCCGTCTCTAGCATCTTGGCCTGGAACGGACAAAACAAAAACGGTCAGAGCTGAGAAACATTATAATGGTTCACGCACAAGTCACATATCTCACAAAGAAGCAAGATTTGGTCAGATGTTCATCATCCATGAAGTAGATAGATGCTCAAGAGACGACGGGCTCGACTCGGTCGACACTAGCGCCGTTCAGCGGCCGTCGGCCAAGTCGATTCACCACCTCTCCCGCGTCACCGGCGCCGCCGCGCCGGCGCCCTCTTATTTGAAATGTAAACAGCCATTCCTGGAATAGCCGGAGCTAACAAATACGATAGAATAATAGACAGTTGGCACCATTACGGTCGGCCATTGCGGCACAGCACAGCGGGCCCGTTCGCGAACGAACCAGACTGAATATAAATAAATCGACCTCGGGTAAACAGGGCGGAGAGAGCGGTGGAAAGGTGAGAAGATGGGAGCACCGGCGGCCAGCACGAGCAAAAAGCGCCGGATGACAGTAAACTACCGGGAGCAGCCTCTGCTGCGCACCTTGGCGCACTAACAGGTGCAGCGCAGCACCCCGCTGCACTCCTCCCCACCCTCCCCCTCCCAAACCTCCCGGCGGGGGGAGGGGCGACCGAGAACTGAATCGGCGGCGCCTCCAAGAGAGGTCGTTAGTCATCTTAACTCGGTGGATATGACTAACTGACCGCGACTGGGGGAGGGCGGGCAGCCGTCAGGCCGTTAGACGCTAACCGGGTCCGGCGGGGATGGGCGGGGTGGGGCGGGGGGGAGGGGCGCGTGGGGCTGTGACAGCGCCCGTAGCCGTCAGTCAGCCTGTCTTCAGTCATGTCTAACATGTCAAAGGTGCTAGACAATGAGCGCGTTGCGGCCAGACAATGAATTATGATGACGCTGTCATATCAGCCGCCCCCGGGGCCCTGACCGTATCGTTTCCGGAAGATATAAATATGTAGGTATGTAGTTATCGGTGATTTCAAATCTTAACAGCTCTTACCTACCAAGAAACAATACTCAGTGATGGGAATCATATGTCATCAAGAATGTTTAATCCTTGTGACATCCCTACGAAGACAATAGACAATACCTATTAGCAGCTGTGAACTATCCGATAGAGCATTATCTTCATAATGTAGCATGACATGAACGCAGCACGAGGTCTTCACGTGTGCAGTCTACACTATGCACTGATGAGTCTGCACCTTTTGTGCGCCCATCGGGCCCGGCAACCCGACACACACATACAGAGTTTAGCGTTCGCTGACATTTTCCATTAGTGGGAGCTCATAACAGACTCTCTCTTATGCATTTATGCGCGTCGAAATAAGTATTCATGTTTCTTATAATTCTTTTAAATCATTCTTCTATCTCTAGTGGCCGGTTGAATAGTCTGACGGACGTCTAATAATTAATGCTGGAAACAATCGTCATTATAAAAGCCGGGCCTTGTGAATAGTTAGCAGGCTGTTAGATGGCTATCTTTATGTTGTATATGTAGTGGATTGACTGCTGCGACTGACAAGGGACTCGGCGGATTGCAGTCGACGAGTGGACTTCCCAACGATAAAAACCAGCCTCTCAACTTCACTGAATAAAATAACTATAGCCGCACCGGCAACTGACTCAAATTGACCGGCCGGCTTTTAAAATGGTCCGTCTGAAATGTCAGCCCGTGTCGAGCGGCCCTCCAATTGGGAGGCAGGGCGCACGGACCGGGTGAAAAAGACGACCACCACCGACCAGCCCCAGGTCGATACGCACTCCATTATGCAGCGCTCATAAAGAATGCAAGGTAAAGTTACATGTGCCGGCCAGCCAATTTCACTCCACGCATAAAGGCATAATAACTAGTGGGAACGCAGCCTTACCATTGTACGCCATCCTTCCGCGTTCACAGAAAACGCACCTTTAAAGCCGACGTTAGACGTGGGGCTAACGGAACTTATCCTGCCGCGCGCCTAATGTGAATGAATATGAAGGCATTTTATAGAAATTATTTATGCAGGGTTCGGCCGGTCGGACGGCCCAGTAATAACAGTAATCACCGACAGCGACCGCTCGCCTGTTTGGTTACATTCGGCCATAAGATATTTCATGTATTTGAGGTCGGCCATTACACCCAGCACTGGCATCCAATTGAGGTCGCCTGCCTGCCCACACCACCGAGGCGGTCGTTTTTCAACGCACGGGAAAGGATCCGGCACAGAGCATAGACGGCCGACCGACCGCTCTCTATGACAAAGGAACCCGGTGATGATTCATCGAAAACATAAGCAATTGTCTCCGGAATTAGTTATCAAATTTACCACGCATGGCAGCCAACCGGAACTGGCCGGCCCGACTATTGACTAGAACGAACAATGAACGAGCGCCATGTCTATTCGTCACAATATAAGCACGGAGATGGGTCGGGACGCTCAGCGTTCATAGACGGGCATCCAGGACCGCGGCCGGAAATTACAACTAATTTCTATTGTTTCAGATCATCGCTCTCAGCGACAGAGGCCTTCGAACCGTAACGTCATCATACACGCATGCATGGGATTTGGGGATACATTTATCAGCGATGATAAAAATTGTTCAGCTACCGAACAACATTTAATGAGCCATGCATATTGAATATTGTTAAGTCATCAGCCGTTGTAAATGTGAAAACGGGATCTGCAGTTTCCTCCAACATTTTCTATTGACAACAGTTGTGTTGAGGGTGTGCCTAGCAATTTTCGTAATTTTGTAAATAATTTATTAGCACACACGCACGTTTCATGTCAGCAGTGACGTGGAATCCGTCGGAATTATAATCATTGGCATTTCACAGCGATGGTAATTGTATATCGTTGAGAGCTGCTGCGAGGAGCATGATAAATGTAGGAAGTATCATTAGAATATATGACCTTCTCCTCGGAAAATGACCAAATGAATGAAAATGATTATTTATTGATGAATTGATTCATCAATAAATAATCATTTTCATTCATTTGGTCATTTTCCGAGAAGAAGGTCATATATTCTAATGATACTTCCTACGATGGTAATTGCTTTAAGACTGAATTAAGAAATAATAATAAGAGCATTGGACGACAACAACAGCGTGACGGGGCTGATAGATCCATAGGATGACAGCAAGCAGTCGGTACCGCCTTCTTAAAGGGACCATCCCACCTTAACATTAGTTTTGAGTTGAGATAGCCAAGTTTGCGGCCAGGCTCAGAAACCACCATTTATCCTGGTCGCAACCCCCGCAGCTTTATGGTGTTCAAGAAATTTCTTCCCTTTACTTGCAGGGTGGGACCAGCTTAGTCCCTATCTCTTAACCATTAGCGGTTTCTTGATGACGTCAGCAGTCATTTCAACGCCCGCCATTCCTTGAACCCGAGTTTTGCTGACCTTGAGCTCCCTTTTTTATCAACGTGAAATCCGTCGTCGGCGCTGAGAAAGCCTATTGCTTTTCATTTTAATTTGAATATTAGAAGATACCCACCACTGGAACTTGGACTGATATTATACCAAGGCCGAAGATGATCAAGCTGCCTGCTATATCTGGAGCTTGGTGTTCAACTTCAACATGGAATAAAAAACAAAATATCAAAGCAAACTGGATATGGTACTCCAAGTTAAAGTCCAAAGAAATTTTGAAGAGCTGACAATTGACATTAATTCTTTTCCTGCAAGGTTTCCATATGGAGATCACACCATGAAGAAATATTTTTGATGTTTACAGTTGAAAGGGGATTGATCATCCAGTTTTGACGAAAGACGCTGCTGACTGTCTTTGGAAAAGGATGTCGGCATGAGGTGCAATTGTGCTTGTGAAGTGGTTATAACTGGTCTTTTCACAGTATTAAATTAAATGTGCCATTGCAGCCAAGTGTGTTATCATGTAAGGTAAAATCAAAACTACAATGTTGGTTTTACGAGCATTGAGAAGGCTGGTAGGTAACACCTGCCTGTGCTCGTAAATCATGCTGCCAAAGTTTTCTAAATTAATTCTATCATACACTTTTGTTATCCAGAATGGTTGCACTATTGTTTGGTATCATATTATTCCATGTAAATATGGTAGCGTAAAGTCCGACCAACATGTTACCAGATTTGAAGCTGTTATGTTACCTAAGTACCTGTTTTTTACTGGCGTGGTGAATGTCATTGTCACCTGGATTTTGTTTTGAGGTGCAGACCTAGTAACTCTGACTACATGGGTTTGAAGCTATTATCTATTCTGTTTTTACTGGCCTGGTGAATGGCGACTGATGTTGTCTGTGGATGGCACTGAAACAAATTTTGAGTGTTTTGTACAGTGTTTTAATACAATGCTGAGGGCTGAAAGTTGTCTTGTTTAGAGTGGTGAAAGTTCAGGATATGCCAGCCACCATGGTGGGTCAGAGTTAAATGTGTTGCAGTCAGTTCGGCTTCGGCAAGCACACGGATGGGCATACGCATCAAGACCTGCTCTGCCATACTTTCAGCCAATTTTACCTGGGTAAGTCTTTTCTTTTTTCTGCCAAAAGCTATGACATTGTGAATTTCAGCACTGTGGCCTGTGTGTAGCTTTCAGGAAAGCAATTCTAAATAAAGCTCTGATAAAGTGCAAAATCAGCAATGCAGCCCTCTATTACATTTTCTACAACATCTTACTTGTTCCTTGCATGGAGAGAAAAATGCAATGTTATGATTTCGTTTATTCACATAATTTGACAAGCATGCAGTTACCTGCTACTATCACTGCACAAAACAGAGCAGAAAACATCAGTTGATCAAACACAAGGCATAACAGAAGTTTACAACATAGGGCTGCCGAACCTGCTTCCTCCCACCACAGTTGATGCCATTTCCTAGCCTGGCTTGATGTGAGCACTGAATAGCTGCTTTGTCTAATTACAGCTCACTACCATTCAACTTAAACTACTATCTTTAAAGTAAGAGTGAGAGCGTTCAGTGTTCATAGCAGCTCGACAGACGACAGACAACAAACATCTTGACAAACCAACCAGTATTTGATTTGGCTAATGATTTATGTGCTTGT